TTATCTTAACATCTCCAATACCTTATCTTATATTTACGAGTGTATATATAGATAATGATAATTTAACCGGGATTAAATCAAATCAATTTTGTTTAAGATAAAAACTTATCAATTACTTAGCCTAAACCTATATATACAGCTCACGGGTCCCAGGCACCTACCTACAGAAAATTCAGAAAAGAAAATTATCCCATTTGTTTATTTTGGAAAAGAGAGAGAGAGAGAGAGAGAACCGGGTCTATTTGCACCCATTTAAAACAGTAAGGAAAGTCCTGGCATACCTATATTCATTGAAGTAGAAATTTCGAGAAGAGAATTTGGAACTTGCATTTATATTTCTTTAAATTCTTTTATATCGAGGTAAGATACATTTATGTGCAAAGTGTTTTCATTTCCTTATGTTCTTATATGCAATTAAATATGCATGGATTGCTAGTAGACATTAATTTATTTTTTTAAGAGATGAAATCCTACAGGATAAAAGAGGACCAAAGATGGGTGTGTCGCTTAATCATCGATATACTCCATAAGAGCAGAGTGGTATGAAATATTGATTTTACTGTTATGTATATGGAAACTGCACATATCTTACTGTGTGTTTTCGAATACTCACTCTTACAATTTTTACAGGTTAGTTTGGGTTGATTGGAACGATGTGGAATGGTGATGCAGGCTGTCAAGTGGATCAAATGAAAAGAAAAAGAAATAAGTTTGCTATTTTTAAATTTACCAATTATTTTAATTTTGTTCCAAACGTGTTCTTTGAATTAGTTAGGAGTTTATGTTTCATATTTTAAATTTAGATTTATAGATGTTGCAGTTATTTATTTAATAAATAATTTTATTTTTATAGTTCCGCACTTAAAATAAAGAAAAATAAGTTTTTCGTAACGTTTTAGAGTTTATATAGAAAATTGGGGTGTTACAGCTTGATATCAGAGTATGGTTTGACTTTTCTGTAGACTTGTTTTTAATAAAAAAAATTTAAACAATTTAGGTTAACAGTACGGTATTGTTCACGTGAACAGTAAAAACAAAAAAAAAATGTTTTACATGACATAGCAAAGAGTTCTAGGATTTTAAATTGATGTGACATACTTTGAATATTGCAATTTTTTTTTATTTTGTTATAGATTTTGTCTCATTTTGTAGCAGTTTGGATTACCATTCACATCAGTACTCAATTATTTTTGTACATTTGTCTCTTTATTTTGAAGAATAAATGATTGTTTAAATTGATTTCGAGTGATAGTAGTTTAGAATTTAAATTGTTATAGTTTCATGCCTATGGTTTAAATCTTACATGTGATAAATTTTTATGTGTTTTAACTTTAGCCTTTGGAGATGTTTTAAAAAATGGGCCTTTGAAAAAATTGATATTTTAAGAGATTTTACGTTCGATTTATTGTTTGAATTTTGTTGAATTGCGTAATTACAAAATTAAAATGCTTTGTCCAAAAGACCTAAACTGTCTAAGAAAAGTTTGGGATTTAAGCGGTCCGTCTGTGACCCCCCTCCTCATTTGGAAACTTTTTAATTGTGCGTTATTCAAATCGACAAGATGAAAGACAATATATTGGACAGTTCTAAATTTAAGAAAATTCAAAATTTTGAAACTTCTATTTTGAGAAAATTTTATTAAAAGAAATATACATGTACAGTTAAAAAAATAATAAAGTGAAAATTTATGAAATGTTAATGTAAAATGAGATTACATGCCTTAATCAATATGTAATTATATACATACTTTGAAACCAACCTTTCAAATGTTAGCTCACAATTACCTTTAAGTATATATTAATTTTTATGATATAAGTTAATTTCTTAAAATACTGCGTGGTTGTTATATAGCTCTATTAGTACTTATGTGTTATTACTATGATTTTATTTTCAAGAATGTATATGTATTTATTATATGGTTGTGTTTAAATAACCATTTATAACGTGATTTTAAATAACGATACCCTTGTTAGGAACTTTTACTTCTTGACTTTTTCTATTCTAAGAAATTCACAAATAATTATAGTAAAATTATTTTTAAAAAAATTAAAAAAACAAATAATGTTATAAGAACACTTGGCACGTGGCGCTCACCATTCAACTACTCTCCAGTTGATCCCAGGTATGAAATGAATTCGTTTTATTCTTAATTAGAGCATGGTTACGAGTCATATTTCTACATGTTATGAACGTATAACCATGATCACCTCGCATAATTAACTTGTCATTTTTTTTATTTAAATATCGTTCATGCACTGAGAATAAAGATAATATTGATAATGCAAGATTAAGCACAATTAAAATTATACTTGTCACATGATTAGGAACGAACTTTTGTTGAACATGTTAAAGATTTCCTTTCCAAGTGGCGTCCACCCTTCTCACATGGGGGGCTCACTTTGAATAAATCATATTTTATTTAAAGTGGCCCCCTACATGTGAGAGAAGGTGGACATCCTGATGTACATATAGCATGACCCTTTCTTTTATTCTTCTCGAGAATACTTTTGGAAGGAAAGAAACATGTAACATTGTTAAAATCAAACGTAACATTACTATTATGATTTAATTAGAGGACGGAGAACTCCTCCACTGGACATCTAACAAATAAGAAGAATGCTATATAGTGTGATGCATATTTATAGTGCTGGAACAAGCCAAAATCACAATTATAGTCCCCCAATTCCCAACATATCAGGATTACGTGTACCCAATTTCCTTATAACAAGACTTGTAATCACCCACTCAAATGATAACATATCAATGCACTTTTTTGTAACTTTGAACAGGTTTATTGACTTGAGAATAACATAATTATGTTAATGCATAGTGTAATTCTTAAATGTGAATTCACAGTGTTATTATGCAATGGTACTTCTCTCTCTAAAAATTAAATACGAATAATAATAACCAATACGACTACTAACTAAACCTTATTCACAACAAATTTGGCATGAGCTACATGAATCATTTTCCTTTGTCCCTTTTAGCCGGTCCATCGTCACATCTATTAGAAATCAGATAGGATCATATTATTCGGGAAGCATGGCACCCCATGTTAATATTGGTTTATTTCTCCATCTTTTAACCCTCTACTAAGATCACATCACTCTTATAGCCCGTTATAAAGTTTGGCCCAAAGAAATATGTTCGCTCATTTACTTCATAAAGATTGATCATAAAAAGTTTTAGCCCACTCCAAAAGCTCATGTCCATCCTAATTTTTAATGTTAGCCCACCCGAAAACACAATTATAGTTCTGACCCTGGTCTTATAAACAGGAGTCTTAAATCACTATCGTGTCAAATCAGAAGATGTAATGGAGTTAGATTGTGATGGAGACCCAATCTTCTCTTCCAAAAGTCAAGATTTAAGGGTGATAGAATCTCACAACTATTAGACCTTAACAATACCCCACAGCCCCAAATCCAATGTCCACGGCGACCTACTCCAAAACGACCTTTGCTTTACCCAGCCATCCTTCTTTGGTTGCGGGTATTCGACACTTCACTTGGGTAGTCCCTTCCGAGATTTGAACCTGTAACGTGGATCTGCTTTGATATCAATTGATGAGAATCCAACCATCTCTTTCAAAAGTCCCAGCTTGAGGGTGATTGAATACCACAACTATTAGACCCTAATAGATTGAAGGGTTGATTGTTGGTGGTCGATGGCACAAGTATCAATGGTTGTGAAAACGAATAACAGTTAGAGTCCATATGCGTGTCCAATTTCATTTAATATTGCTTGCCAATCATGTATAAGAATAATGTCTATAAAAGTCTGGAGTAAACAAATAAATTAATGGCAACCGGAATATCTCATAATGAGCTAAAATTATTAATCAAAATCTCTAATCAATCCCGTGCTGCTGATCAATCTCAAAGATATAAGATGTCCCAATAACAACAAAGCAGAATTTTAATAAATAAATGTAATTTCTGAGGTACCTGCACTTTGTTGAGGATTAATTCCCACATCATCTGCAAATATTTTTTTTTTTTAAAGTGTGAACAATCGTTGAACGGCCTAAAACAGAAATCTTCACGAAATTAATATACATTGGATCATTACAATCCTCCACCATCTCCACCCCCATAACAAAATAGAAAACGCTGATCCCCAAAAGAAATTCAGTTTAGAATTCCAAATAAAAAATTCCAGGAAAAAGGAATTCAGTTCTAGGAGCTCAATCAAGTTATTAACAATTAAAAAAATGACGAGGAAAAAATACCGTTTGTGATGATAGCACTAGTTTGAGGAGGAACTTTGAATTCCTCGGCGGCAAATTTCAGAACTGCAATAAATGGTGTTGCCCCCGGAACGCTAAACCTGTTTATGAATTCAATTGCCAAAAAGAAACGGAGATTGATTTGACATAAAAATGTGAAAAAATAAAATAAAATGAAGGGGTAATTTAGGAGAAACTATCACTTTAAACGGAAGTTTGGGATCGGAGGTGAGAGTAACCTTGAAAGAGTCTTTCCGCTGCTGGCGCCACCGTGAGTTAATTAAATTACTCATCATCAACATTTGTCATCTTACAACTTGCTCATCCAAAAATAAAAAGTTACAAATTGCTCACCACTTTTTAAAAAAAATTACCCATCATTCACCCATTAAATTTCCATCCATCCAATTAGACAAAAAAGTCCACGTGGCAAATGAAAATCCTTGGTGGCCATTGACCCCGTTAAAAATTGACGTTAGATAATTACATTACATTGAAATAGCAATTCTCTTCAAAATGCTAGAATTGTTCCATTTTTCTACTCATCTTCCCCCAATATTAAACTTCCCCTGCAATCAAAATCCATTTCTTCTCCTAAATCAGTTTCTCATCAATGGAATCTCAAATCAAGACTTTATCAAATCAAAACCAAAATGGAAAAACCCTTAAATTAACACGAACCCTAATTCCCTGTTCATCATAACCCTCTTGTTAATTTATATAACCCACCATCGTCCCAAAAGTCGCCTGCATTTACCCAATACTCACCATGCAGAAGGCATTGCCATACAGATATTGGCTTTCAACAACCACCATAGAAGGAGATTCCACCAATTGTCCGTCGGGGAATAGAAAAACAACTGATGATGACAAGGCGATTCTGAAAAAATTGATGACAAAATATGGTGGTGGGTTTTGCCCGAAGAGGTTGCCGCATGTGCCATGTGGTCTTTTGCTTCACGGCCATGGCGTCAACCCCATCATATTTGATGTGGATGAGCATCACGAAGCTGCAGTTATGAATGAATTGTCAAAAATCGTCACGGCGGAAGAAAGATGCTCTACTACTGGAGCCAATTTTCTGGCGGTGTTTTCAGCGAAAATTGCTTGGCGGGCTTGAAAAAACCATGGGGTACCCATTTTTTCTGGTGAGAAGAGCCGAAGCCCTTTGGCTCTGAGTATTTAAACAACCAAGAAAATTTTGGATCGAAAAATGCTATAAATTTTCCCCTTTGTTAATTAACTTTTTTTTATTTCTAAACAAATTTCAACCAAGAAAATAGGTTGAAGAAGGTATACTTTTGGCTTATTTTTTGGGTTTCTACTTATTGAAAACAATCTGCTTTTTGAGTATAGGATTTTCCAACATGTAAATTTTTAATGGAGTTAGTGACCACCTAGGATTTTCATCTATCACGTGGACATTTTTCTCTAATTCGATGGACGGAATTGAAATGGGTGATGAATGGATAATTTCTTTTAATAGTGAGTGAGCAGTTGGTAACCTTTTATTTATAAGTGAGTATATAGTAATCAAAGATAAATGTTGATGACGAGTGACAATTAACTCGTCTGTAAGTGAACCTTCAAAGTTTTGCTGCTAACAGGAAGGCGTGTTTGGTTTTCGACAAAAAGGTTTTGGTGCTTATATTGAGCTATATTTTATAAAAACTCATTTTTAATTGTACATTCTTTCAAAAAAATAATTTTTCACATAAATTTAGAATTTTTCCAACTTTTTAACCTCACGACCTTTAAAAAATCACTATTGTAGGAATATTCTTCCAAAAAATAAGGTTCAAATAAATTTATATTATTTATCACTACAGTCTGTACGTGTGAATTAGAACCTTTTTGAGTCTCTTTTGGGTCAAAATGTATTTTGAAATAGTGTTTTGTTAGAGAATGTGTGGTTTAAAAATTAAAAAAAAAAATCGAGGTCAACCATAAGCTTAATCGACTTCATCGTAACAAAAACTATTTAATCACTACGTACATTCTATACCAGTGATGTAATCGACTTCTTACTAATAATTAGTATTACGAATGCATTTTCAATTTGTTTGAATAATTTTTTTGGAAACGTTTTGTTGGAATATATATTTGTTTTAAAAGAAGCCGACTCAATGTTTAAAAAGAATTTCTTTTACAAAAGCAGAAGTTAAGGTAAAAATTATCTCTAAGGAGCCCTAAGTGATTCAAACTCTTAAATGTAAATATATGAATCTCATTTAAGTAGTAGTTTAGCTAAATAACATAATCGTTTTAAATTCAAGAACTTTTTAATTACTTAACTTTTGTTTATTTTTTACTTAATTGATAACAAATGTATATTTTGTAATTTTGATCTATATATTTGACTTTCATTAATGGTTTAATTTATATTTATTTATAAAAACAAATGATAGATAAGTGGATAATAATTGTGAATTCATCGAAATACGCGGTTGAAAATAAGGCCCTGTTTGAACCGCATTATTAAAAAAAAAAAAAAATACATTTTTAAACAATGATTTAACATTATTTCAATTACACATTCTTTAATAAAATTTTGCATCCATTTGAGAAATCTGTAAATAATGTATAAAGAGTAATAGCAACGAGATTCACAAAGTGAATAATAATGAATAATAGTAATAAATATTGATTGAAATTAATATTTGACTTTAACTAAATTTATAAATAACTTACTAGGCATCATGCTTAGGGTCCTTTTGACAAGGTTTTGCTTCTTGTCATCAACTCATTAAGAAAGTTGTTTTATATTAACTTCATCTAAAAACTCTTATAAGTAAATAAAAAACTTTTGAAAAATGTTCGAACTTTTTAAAAAATCTATAATTTAATCTTCAATCGAAGTTCTAAAAAATATTTTTTCTTAAATAATGTTATTTAGCATATACCAATTGAGGTGTCTACATGGCTAAAATTCATTGTATTTAAATGAATTTATAATTTATAATTTATCACTAGTGTTCACATCTAAATTGATATTATCTATACTACTAAATAGCATTAATTAGTTGGGCAGCAATATTAATACAATTGTTAACACTTTTTAAACCCGAGGAATGTTCACGTAACGTCTAAAACTCCGCCGAGTCGCCCCCAGGGCATATCTCCCAGTGGCAAAAGGGAGGACGGATAGAGCTCAGCGCGACAGTGTGTAGAGTTCGATTTCCCGTAAGGTGTAATTGACTTTGTTACAAGCGGAAGTTATTATATGGGTTAAGAGCCTTGACCTATCCATGTGCTCTCCTTCCTAATTCCTGGAAGGCACATCCTGGGATCGGTGGGACCTTCAGATTGGAGTTCAACCTTTAAAACTCCGCCGAGTCTCCTCGTGCCAGTTGCCAACTCAATCTACGCCATGTCGCCTTAGAAACCAGTCCACCACCGCCTCGCTGCCCTCAAGATCCGTCCTCCCTCCCTTCTCCTCCTCATTAGCCATTGCCTGCATAAAATCCTACGTACAACACGTGTATAAGAAATTTAGCAGCAGCTTTTTCTTGGTAAGCTTTTCTGTCGCTCACTCTTGCAAATCTTTGATACTGTTTTTAATCTCCATGCCATGATTTTAATGTTTGTGTATAAATTAAGCGGAATATGTCGTTGAATATAGAAATTCATCAAACCCCATGAACCCTTTTATTCATATCAATCAATGGAGATTATGGAGTGACTAAAAATAACGAATCGATTGTTTTTACCTTTTATCGTCACCTGTTAAATTATTGTGGCTATTCGAATACATATCTGGACATTCTATTTCATATTTATCATTTTTTCTTTACCATTTTCGTTTTGTAGACATTGTAAATACTTGGGAAGAGGTTTTTGAAGGAAGCTTTTGCAATGGAGACTATGTGTCCTACAGATCAAAACTGCTCCAAATGGGCCAAAAAATATATGGATTATTGTCTTTGCAGCACAAAAGATGGAGTTTCTTTGGCATTGGGTCTATTAAGTGTGATGGCCTGGACTGTGGCTGAGATACCTCAGATCATCACCAATTACAAGCAGAAGTCTACCCATGGACTCTCTATCTTGTTTCTATTGACATGGGTACTTGGGTAATACTTATAATTGTTCGTCTTTTTAAGTTTTATTTTTTATTTACTGCAGTATGTAATTAGTAATAGGAGGCAAATCATGATCTGCTACTCTTTATTTTCCATTTTCACAAGATGTTGGCACTCTTGCATTTGCGGTGATAAGGAGCCAGTTCTGAAAATTCTCATATTTTGGATTCACAAAATTAGTTGTTTTTAATGACATCATAAAGAATATGATTCGGTCATATCAATTTTTGTTGAAAAAGTTATACTATAGCTTCTCTATACACGCATTGCGATGCCTTTCATTTGATTAATATTTAATACCTGAAATGAGACAAGCGTCCAGGGTTTATTTAAGGTTGCATTATTTGGATGAAAGGAATACAAGAATACTCATTTCAGTAAATTAAAGGACAATTGGAAATTTTGTGTAGTAAATATAGTATTCAGAATAAATTTTCTTTAATCCTTTCCCTGAAGTTCCATTTTCCAAGTACACATTGGATTGTCAGACAATCATAGCACACAAATATTCAAATATGTAATTTATTCTACATTGAGAAGAGTATCATGATTCTCCGGACATTTCTTTTCTTTTCTCTTTTCCTTCCTATCATTCTCTACCCAATTTTCAATACTATTGATGTTATAAGCTTCTCTTCAGACTTTAATGCAACTGCAAAAAAATATGATAAAGTCGGAGGTGGGTTTTAAAGTCTAGCTCTCTGATTTTAATTATTTAAGCGTGCTAGTATTTTGAACAAGATTATATTTCTTATTACATCGTAAAACTCCTATATTGAACTTGTGTAAGGACTATAGTCAGCAGATCTGTAATCACGTTACTTAGTTTCCATTAAAAACTGCATTTTTTAGTTTTAGATTTCTCAGTTAGGTCCCTATGATTGCCACGATAGATTTATTTTTTCTTTAACTATTATTTGTATTTCCTAATAAGTATCTACAGTTTTGGTTACTAATTACACCATTTATCATTTCTTGTGCAGAGATTTTCTCAACCTTTTTGGCTGCACACTTGAACCAGCTACTGTAAGTTTATTCTTCTTTTACATTTTCTATTTCCAAATAATAAGTCCTTATTTATTTATTTTATTTTATTTTTTACGTTCAAAAAAAGAAACGTGGTAACTTTTTCTTCTGTTCTTGACTTTTTCATCAAGATGCCAATATTTTCATTTAAAAGTGATTGCATGCCTAAATGGTTGGAACTACTGAATTAAGTTTCTGACCACCTCTAGATTTTTTGTTCTTCTGTCTGCGGTTGTTTGTCTTGTCGAAGTTAAGAACACGAAAAATTTGTTAGCTTTTGGATACTCGATTAGATATTCTAATACGTTTTTTGATCAATACAAACCACTTGATTACAAGAGAGAGAAAAGAAAATAGAATGGAGTAGAGGAATATGATACGAATAAAGAAGCTTATAGTTATAATCAAATTTGATAAAATGGAATATTAGTAAAATGTTTAACTCTTCTTTATAAAAGGCCAGATAGGCACTTTTGATTTCCACTATCATTTCAACTTCAACAGATTTTGACATAAGCCTTATTAATAGAAATATGTGGCACATCTTAAAGTAGTAGGTAAGGCCAATACCTTCTGAATTCTGCATGAGCAGTCATTTAGTTATGTAGTGGTTCATCCTTTGCCTCTTCCTTAGAAGTATGTTACAGTTCACTAACAGATTCTCATGTCTTACAGCTTCCGACACAATACTACCTGGCAGTGGTAAGAATGCTTTCATGACATCATTATTTCTATGTAAAATTACTGATTTCTCATTTGTTAACAACAGATTCGTTTCATAACCGTCACTGTCTTCTCTTACTTGCAGTTATATACAGTAACGACCCTGATTCTTGCTGCACAAGCCATATACTATGGCCATATTTATCATGGATTGAAATGCAAGAGACAAACACTTGAGGTTTGAATTTATGATATACATATTATACCTGTTGTTTTGGGTTCCATTATTTTATTCCTTCATATTGTTCATGGTCGACATTTGTTAGATATTCTATCCAGTTGGATGATAATTCTCAAGAAGCTTGGAGCTATTTGGCAACAGTCTCTTGCACTTATTTTCTTAACTCTCAGTTCTATATCATTAATGGTACTAATTTAATGAGTGTCTTTATAATGCACATTAAGGTTATCCAAGCTGGAGATGTCGAAGAAAAGGATCATAGATATGGAATTGATAATAAACAAGGTGACAATGAAGAGAGATTGGGAAATCCTTTGAGCTCGCCTATTCCTCTTCCAGCCATTTCTCATGATAGTTCCCCTGAAGATCTGTATTACATGTAAATAATTCCTTCCTTGGATCTTTAAAATACAGTTTTTTGTGTGTTCTATAAATAACTAGCTACTACTAAAAAATCCTTGATCTCAATGCATATGAATTGCATGAACTAATCAGAAGTATGATTTTGTAGTAAGCTTATTATGAAACAGGTACACATACATGTATATTTGTGCCGCTTGCTTACATTCACACACAAGCACGCATAGAAATGTATCATTGCATGTAACAATTCAACAGAAAAGTTAGATTTAGCATAGTCTAGTCGCTTCATTTCTCAATATTATTTATATTCCCTGTGTGGTTACCAATTTCACATTCCTTGTTGAGTGTTGGGAACTCTACACAATGAGTGTGTGTGTTTAGAGAATCTCTCTCTAAAACATGGCCTCACGCAAATAATTTCGATTCAGTTACTTTTGTTTCAGATATATATTGCAGTAGACTGCCTTTTGCGTTTGACCAAGAGTTCATTGACATGATGATCTTTTGTTTTTAAGTTTTGAAAGAGCTAGCTACTTAGTCTTGAGTGAGGCAGCTGTGAAGACATTTTAAGCTTTGTCTTTTAAATTACGGATGCAATGAAATTGAGGGGAGAAATTGATGTCGTTCAAAGTAGCAATGCTACTTTGAATTGCATCATATATAATTGTATAGTCTAGGATGCAGAGATCTTAGCGTTTGGCGCCACTACCTTGTGTGTACGTAAAATTGTTTACAATTTAATCTCTATGGAAGAAAAGTTTTGACAATGCTTTTTTAGAGTAGCTTCCAGACCACAGAATGAATTTTGAACAGAAAATTGAAAATTTTATAACATGGATTCATAGAAAGATTATTCCCCATGTATTCGTGTATCTGTAGAAATTCTGAGTTTTGCTCATGATCTCTCTCTCTCTCTCTCTCTCTCTGGTGTGCTTGCAGGTCAGCAAGATCTCTTCAGATTAGTCATACCCCTACTGTAGGATCTTTCCCACCTCAGAAAACTCCTGATGCTGAACATCATGGTGCCAGTGAGCCATTGCTTGGTCAAGCTAGGTCAACACAATCCGCACCTCCTGCAAAGACCAAAACCATGTTGTGCGTGGTGAGCCTTTTTGAACTATAGCTAGAAATAGTCAGTATTGCCATCTATCCCTTTCTTGGATATAGGTTTTAACTTTCTTGTGCTTTAGGTTTCCTTAATGACATTCTTCATTGGCGGTCTCAACCTGCAACAAGCAGAAACCAGTAGACATAACATGATTTTTCTAAATTCAACAAGTGGTGTAGTGTTCCAAGTAGGAAGACAACTTTTACAGGTAATGAAAAAGGAATATGTAATTTCTGCTTGTCATGATAATATGATTTGTTTATGCATACTATGACCCTTCCTTTTGATTCATTTTTGTTTCCCTTGAATTTTCCTTTTGTGGATTTTTATTGACGTAGGTTTTCCTATGTGACTTAACTCTGAAATAGTTTTTGAGCGAAGGGTGGATACATTGTGTAAACCGTGCCCCTGTTTTGTCTGGATTAAATCTTATTAAAATATCAAGTCAAAGTCAACAATAAATTTTAACCACACATTTTGAAGGACCCACGACTTTTCAACTACACATTTCATCAATTTTTATCAAAATCTACTAAAAAGTTTGATTTTAATCTACATCAAACAGGGACTGTATATAAATGATCTGATTGAGTAAATGATGCCGTGTACGCTAGGAAGTTATATTCTTGAAGTCATACTGGCTCTTTATTATTTAGCATACTGAAACAACAGCTGGCATATATAATTGCAGGTAACTGGGGATTTTGAACAAGAAACTTCAGTTTCAAAGAGAAGAGAGATTGGATCAATCCTTGGTTGGGGAATGGCAGCTATATACTTGGGCGGACGTCTTCCCCAGATTTGCCTAAATGTAAGCATAGTAATCGTGATAGTTATAATATCATTAAGTGCATGACTAGCATTAAAAGATTGAGTGACCTTGGCTGTTTATTGTATAGTCTTGTTGCTACCTGTAAAATAAGGTCGTAGCAAAGCATTTGGTCGACATCTAACTTAGTTGTTTTTGTTCAATTTCTGCAGATTAGAAGGGGAAACGCAGAGGTCAGTTTTGATAAAAGGATAAAAAGATGAAGTTGTTATCACCTTTTTAATGTATTAAATATTTGACCATTGTAACAACTAGACGTGTGCATTTAAATTTGAAATAACGTTTGACGTGTGTATGTATTTATATGTACCTTTTCAAATCATAGATTGACTTGTTCATCACTGAATGTATTATATGCGAAATGACTGGAAGTGAACACTATGCGTGAAGTATTTTTGCAATTATCGCTATGTTTTGATGAGCAGGGGTTGAATCCACTAATGTTCATCTTTGCTATTGTTGGCAATGCTACATATCTTGCAAGGTAAGAAAGTTCACTACTGAATTATACCCTTACCTTTCCAACATTTGATTTCTTTGAGTTTGTACATTATCTAATGCCATATATTTTCATGTTCTTAAGAAACAAGTTCCAGACAAGAATATCCATTTCCAATTCATATTTATGTCTGATCATGTGTTGTTCTGTAGTATAATAGTTAGCAGCTTAAAGTGGTCGAAGATAAGACCGAATCTGCCATGGCTGGTGGATTCTGGAGGGTGTGTGCTCCTTGATACTTTTGTATCCTCTTTGCACGTCTACACTAGAGTTTTTATATTCTTAATATATGATTATACTAAATTTTATTCTGGCATTGTGTGCAATCCATATTGAACATAAAGGATGATCTATGTAGGTAGATTACTGTATATGATATTAAGCCTCTGTTTGGCCCACATTTTTCAAAACTCATTTTCAACCATAGTTTATGGACCTACTACTTTTATCAATTTTTCAACCTCACATTTCATCTACTTTTACCTAAATCTATTAGAAATCTATTGTTTACCCAAACCAAGAGGGTGTTTGACACCCATTTTTATGAAAAATGAATTTTAGAATAGTAGATTATTGGAGAATGTGTGGATGAAAAATAAGGAAAAGTTATTGATTTATGTATAATATTATTTTAATAATAAATGTGTGGTTGAAAAGAAAAGAAAAAAATGCATTTTGAGAAAAATGGGAATCAAACGGGGCCCAAATAGGGGCTAAATTTCTATATTCCTTAATGTCACGTTCAGATAATGATTCAATTTATCTATTACCGCTATCGGTCATCCAGAGATGTTGAGAAGAAATATAGCTCAAGTGGCTCTTAGACAATGATAAACAACAAGCAGAGGTAATTTATGCACCTCTTCAATTTTGTTGTCTGACAATACCTTGTCTATGGGAGTGTTCTAGGATTTAACCTTGTTATCTTTGTCGGACGTTGGCTTTTTCCCTTCTACTGAACTTTAGTTAACTGATTTATAGGAAGATTTGAATCTGAGGACAGCCTTTGTTTTCCCCATCTTGATTGAGCATGCATTATTTGGTGAGATTGTTTTGTTTGGTAGTATGATTGTCTTCACATGATTTTCACATTATAATCTCCCATGTGGATTGTTTTCATATTCGACTTACCCTATCTTTGATAGCATCATATCATGGGTATCTTTGTTCGACACTCACTTTTTTATTTATAAAGAACTTACTGAAAGATGTGCCTTTATCAGAAGATTTGAATCTGAGTACTGCCTTCTTTTTTTTCCACTTTGATTGAGTACGCATTATTTGGTGAGATTATTGCATACAATTATGCAATTATCTTCCCATGTTTTTCGTGTTGTAATCTCCCATGTTGATTGTTTTCATATGTGACTTGCCCCCTCTTTGATGACTTGACTAAGTTCTTACTTTTAACCCGTTGCGACAAGACGAAAGAATCAAGATGTATTATGAGTTCTGGGCAGCAATCCTTGTTGAGAATGTTCAAAGGGTACTATCCAATTTTGTTCAATGTAACTGTACTATCTTTCTGATATTTTCTTTAGAGAATTGGGGTGCATTTTCTTTTAATGGTTTATCCAAGTTCCTTAGTAATATATACCTTAACTATATTCGCCTGTCGGAAAAAGAAATATTTGACGATTTATGAGTTGTGATTGTTTGTGATTTAAATTGTTCATATTTCACATCTTCTGTTCATTTCAGACACTGATCCCATTCTCTTTCCTTGCCAGTGGTATAATCATTCTGTTGGAGGCTCGAGTCCGAAGGTCAGAGATGTTCACATCCATGAATGCAGATGACCAGCTACCTTCGAAATAAGAAGGGGTGCCGGTTTTAACTCTAGTTTTCTCTTTGATTCATTTTTTATATATTTTCATGGAAGGGATGTTCTATAAACCCCATTTGGCACTAGGAAACAACAAGAGCTTGTTTTGATGTATTCTTGATGACTCAATCGATATGCAATATTCTGCAAGATTGCTTTCTACTTTTGGTAAAATGCCTTCCTTTTTTTTTTTTTTTTTTTTTAAATGCTTTTATATTTTCCCCCCTTCTTTGTCTGTTTTATTTATCATTCTAGAAATGTGATTTTCATTCTAAACATATTAACGAGTTTCTTATGTGTAGTAACTCAAATTATAAATAGCAATAGGATTGTCTGTCAACTTGTTGATATCGTACGAAATTAATCTTTTGGTTCTCCGTACGATGGAAAATTTGGCCTCTTGTAAATTTCCAGGAAATCCACAAATTCAAAGTGGAAGGATTGAAATTTTAGATTGAAACACCATAGTTTGTACAGGTGGTATGAACTATCCAGACATGAATTCTTGAACAACAGATAGTCTCTAGTAAATAAGATTTTTCTGTCGATATTATATGTAAAATATTGGTAATTTAATTGAATATATACATGATTGATAATTACTTTGAATCAAGACAGTCCAAATCAGAGGAATGTTATGGTAAAGTTTCATTTGAAACGATGTGGTAGAAAGTAAGGTGTGACTTGAAGGACAGATCCGTCCCCATCCAATTGTTTATTTTCTCAAAAAAAAAAAACTATGATATATCGAATATACCATCTTACTTAAATAAAACAAAAAGAAGAGGAAAAAAAATTAAAAAGCTAATTGCAGTCATAATTCCAAATTTTTTAAAAAAAATGCAAACAAATTCCAAATAAATTATTAAAAATTAGAAATAAAAATAAAAAAAAATTTCCTTCCCCCATCCTCTTCCCAGTGGCACAGACCAACTCCAGAATACAACTCTCCCTAAACACGCACATTACACTCCAAACCCCCAACAGAAAAACGTAAACACAGCCAAACCAAAGGAGTGGAACAAACTAACCCCTCGTTTGGCTCCATTCTTTCCTAATTTTAATGGTTGGAACAGTGTTTTTTTGAAAATTGTGTGATTGAGAAAGAATGAAAAATTTTCAATTTACGTATAATATTATTTTATGTAAGATTGTGTGATTAAAAATAAGAGAAAGAGAAAGAATGAAAAAGAGAATGGGAGCCAAACGAGGGATTTATCTTCATCTTCTCTACACAACAAGAAGCTTTTGAATTAATCCCAAAATGCATCATCCCAACTTCATTGTTATAGGTGATGGTTTTTCATTCACAACCATGATAGCACCAGTCATAGCAGGCCCTGATATTTTGGGTGCTCTGTGCGAAATTATATATGTAGGGGTGAATATAGTTCGATTTGGGCGGTTTGTACTATATTTTCAATTCAAACCATTTTATGTGATTTGAAATTTTTTCAAACCAAACACCAAACCATAATTTGTGGTTTGATTCGGTTTTAATCCGTGGTTTATCTTTCGACATTATAGTAATGTATTTAACATAAATTAAATATAAGTTAAACAAGTACTAATAATGTTAAATGTTAAATTACATTCATATTTACCATGAAATTCATGAATAAATTATTTTTAAAGTTAGTTGTTAAAAGATGTTAATAGAACAAATACATCTTTCTTCATTTTTATTTACCTTTTCTTGTTTGATATTCATATTGTCATATAATGGTTGGTAAAGGTAGAGTTATATTTTTTTATTATAGTTTGGTTAAAACTCCTTTCGTTTTGTCAGTGAGATGTTAAATAATGATTGAACGAGATATGTTTAGATATACAAAGATTGATAAAGTTTCAACTTATTGGGAATTGACGATTTCATTCTCTAACTAATTTATGAAAGTAGAAGGTAGTAGTACTACTTAATAAACTTTAACATTTTCACACAATCAATACACTTTGCCTATCGTTCTTTTCAAATCACAAACAATTTCATTAATCATTTAGGGGCAAAAACAATCATTTTTATATCCAAACCACAACTCACAAGTATATAATAAATTCAAAAAAAATAAAGATAAAAGAAAGAACAATGAAAAAATCACTTAAATAAAAATCTAAGACTTATTGAAAGAGAAGAGAGAAAGAGGCGGTTCAGGTAGAGATTAATAGACTAACAGGTAAAAGCGACTGGTGATTCGTTCAGCAGTGGTAGACAAGTGTCAAATGTTAGAGAAATAAGAGTTTATGTTAGGGTTTTCGAAACTTTGGATGTGATTTGCTGACGTAGTTTTGTTGAATTATGATTTGGATTGTTGAAAGTATGTCTTTTTTTCATTTTATATGATTTTGGAATAATTTTAGTTTAGTTTAGATATCCAATGAGGATATGTGTTGTGAACCTATTAAATCATAAACCAATAATGATGAACCTAATTTACTTTCTATAATTATTTCAATAGGTCGGTTATAATTTGTATTGTTAAATTTGTATTTTTTTTTTGAAAAGTGAAAACTGTAAAATTTTTAAGTTAATAAAATAAATTAAAAAATTTAAAAACGGTTCAGTTTTGTGCGGTTTTTGAAAATCTAAATCTAAATCAAACTATTTTGAAACGATTTAGTTTGATTTGAGGGAAAAGAAACCTAGATGGACCCAAATCAACGGTTTCAATTCAATGGTTTCGGTTCGATTTCCGATTTCGGGATTTTTTTTTTTGTGCAACTCTACTCTAAAGCATATCCCTTGAACTTCATCAAAATTTATATGTTATCAACAAAAAACCATCCAAATCACTAGCTTCTTCATGCAATTCCATATAAGCAAACCTTGAAAAAATATGTATATCAAGTGTAAAGCTTGAAATGCAACAAATCATGTAAAAATATTTAAAATATTTCTTCTCGCATTTTTAAAAGGAAACTCACTAATTAAACTTTTGTAATCAATATTTTCTAGAAAGTCTTGCTCAATAGATATCAATTGGCCCCAAAATTTGACAGAAAATTCACTGAGTCCTATTCAAGCCTGCAAAGCTGTTATAATCACTCAAGCCCCATGCTGAGCGTCTGGCCTTTCTTCAGATTTGGCTTTGTAAATATGTTCTGTGTGTGCCAAGCATGAAACATTCTATGAGTTATTTACCCATAGCGCACGAATTGGCACGTGGTAGGCCTCTGAATTTGTATTCTTTCTTTTTGGCCGCCCTCTATAGAGGCATGGCTTCTCTCCAATTTCAATTGAAGAATGGTGCATCTCCCATTGGCAGTGGGCCTCTTTGGTTCACTCATATGTGGTTGAGAGCCTATTTTCCATCACTTGGTGCTCTATCCTTTTCCCGTCATTTTGTTAGCTGCTATGGGCTAGCTATTGACCTACTGAGCCCTGTAAATATGTCTAGAAGGGACATCTTTACATTCTTTTATACTTTGAATTCAATTCCTTCTTTCTTTCCTTTTCCTCCATTTTAACTCCAGATTATGTGCAACCCCCATCCACACTGGACAGTGTGAGCACCTCTCTGCTCGTTTTGGTTTAGTTTTTGACCGGGAGGGAGTTGTTCCATGATATTTTGACTGGAACCAATGCCAAAGCTAGGGTTGAAATATGTGCTTCCCAATTTTTTGCTTGTCAACTTGGTTTTGGCCAAACTTGGCCTGTTCCCCCTTCTTATTCAAGAAATTTGATAGATCGCTTCCACACCATTAATAAGGCAGAGGCAGAAGCTATAGATCTCGCAATATTCTTTTGACGAGTAACTTTTCATTAGCCCCCTTCAATCCTAGCCATGTCATCCATCCCCTTTTTGAACAACTCTGGCCATCAGTGCAGCGCAGATTGTTTGCGACTGATGCCAATCGCGCTTTCCATTCACTGGATCAGCCAGACATTTCTTCTACTTCTCCTGTTTTATCCATCCCTGTGTCCATTAGGAGTCCTTCCTCTTCTGCTCGTGCTAAACAGTCTGTTCGTCCATTTACTTCTCTTCCTACCAAGCCTACTGCAGCTAAAAGTGCCCCAAGCCGCAAACGGCCAGTCTCAGCATCTCCCATTTTGGAGGATGATGATGATGATGACACTCCTCTCATTGTTAGGAGAAAGGTAATTAAATTAGTTTAGTCACAAGGATATCTTTCTATACTTGAAACTTTTCTATATGCTAATGGTTTATTCGGATTTTTCAGAAAAGCTCAGCCTCTCCTTTGAAGGCTTTGGTGTTGGCAGCTCTTGCTCCATTACCCTCTGCTGAGGCTGCTTCATCCAAACTGGCTGATGAAGGGACTACGCTTAAAGAGAAACTTTCAGTCCCGGAATCCTCATCACAACCAATGGATGAGCCACCTTCTTCCCAGGGTGTCAACCCCTCAAACGTCGAACTAGAAGGTAATACATTTTTTGATGTTTTACCTTTGCTTGTGCTATTGATTTTTGATTTGTTGCTATTTGAGTTCTACAGATGCTCCCATGGGTTTGCCCGTTGTGGCAAATTCTTCTCGCTCAAACAAGGGGAAGTCCTCACAAGTGGTGGAGCTACATGTGGTAGATTTGGCTGGGGATATGCCACCTCCCAAGATTGCTGATAAAGTAATCTTTGCTTCACTTTTACTTCCACTTTGTTCATTGTAGTGAAAACCTTCAATGTTGGCAACTTTCTTTGCAGGATGCTGATAGGATTGTGCGTTCCATTCAGGATTTGTTCACTTTCTGGGGCCAAGTCAAGACGTCTCGCCCTGCTTCAACCAGTAGTCCTTCTGCTTCTTCAGAGGAAGATATGAAGTTCCTCAAGCAGTCGATATTTGAGTATGTGTCCTTTATGGATATGGACATCGGTCAGGTTAGTGCTGCCAAACATAAGGATAAGCTTGAGCATTTGAGTGAGAAGTTGGCGCAAGCACTGACACTTCCGTCGCTTAATCTTTCTGCTGATTTTAAAGCGACATTGAAAGTTGTCCATTCTGAGATTCTCTCCTTGCTGGCAAAAAATGTTGAACTGAAGGCCAAAAGTACTCAATATCTTCGTGCTGTATCTGAAAGAGAGTCTTTGCTTCTGGAGATCAACAAAGCTGAGGACGAATTGAAAGAAATCTCTTCCGAAGTTATGGTTGAAGACTCTTTGATGACCAGTTTGACTGCACAGATGAATGAGCTTCAAGCGAGGATGGAC